CCAGGATGTGACGCTACGCGTCGCTCTGGCAACGGTCCTGTTGCCAGAGCGACGCGTAGCGTCACATCCTGGTGACGGCGGTGCAACGCGTATCGCTGTCCCCCGCGGCAGGGATCCTGTGAAGACGTACGGATCCCCTGCCGCGGCTTGGCAGCCCTAACTGCAGGGAAGAGGTTAAGCACCTGCAATCTTCCCCCCTTCCCCTTCTGTTAAAATCGCAGCCTCAAGCAGTTGGTTTTCACTTTACAAAAACCTTTTGCGGTTTCCTCATACACATTTGCATTTTCCTTATACACATTTGCCCCTTTTAAGACATCCTAATTCTGCATGTTCCAATTTAATTTCTCCAGCAGAATACAATCCCATCGGATTTGTACAATCTACCTCCCCATTTCCTTATCTCCCGGGAATTTCTTTCTTTACTGCACACTCTGTGTTTTCATTCCTTATAAGACTTAATGCATAATTCAGATATCTTTTTGCGAGTGTTCATCTTGCACCTTTTCACATCACAATTTCCTCCCAGCTGTGGTTGCAGCAGCCCTACAACATGAGCCATTGGCTGTGTTTTGTTGGGAGAATGCCCAAATCTTCATATCAGATCAACCTTGCCATGTACTGTTCTTTGTTCATTCTTGCACCACTTAGAGCTTTGTGTGTCTCCCACCTGTCACGCCAGATCTGACAACGACCGTGTCTCTTGCTTGTTCAGTAGCATTGATTCACACTGCTGCAAAGAGCATCGGGTCATCAGGGGCTTCAGCCACCCATGGGATGTCACAGTTGGTGAGATTCTGCAGGTGTCTCATCCTTGCTCTTAAAAACATAAAAAACTGCCTTGCCACAACGGTCCAAAGGTCTGTATTTTGTTAAGCAAGCTTTCATAAGCGGCTGCCTCTATTTCTGGCCAGGTCCTGCTCAAATGGCTGAGGGAGCGCATGGGTAATGAAGAATCCAGACAAGATGGAGATGATGCTTGATTGGTAAGACTGAAAAAAATAAATAAAAATAAATTAGCGTATGGCACCTTGTGTGGAATAGCCAGGAGATCCAGAAAGATCATTTGGCTGCCTGAGGCTGTAGCTCTTTTTTGACCATAAAGTTTCCCCTCGGATGACCGTGGCCCCGCCCCCAGCATGCCCGGCGTCATAACGTAACTTCCTGGTGACACGCACGCCAGGGTGGGGTTCCCCCCAGGGCCCGATCCGCCGGTGGCGTGGAATGGGCCTCTGGGGTGGGGGTTTCCCCGCCCCCCGGGGGGCCTTGGGAAGCCTAACGTAATGTGGTATAAAATCCATATGCACTTGAAGGATATAAATGCTGAACAAGTAGGGTTGCCAGCTCCAGGTTGGGAAATACCTGGAGGTTTTGGGGGTGGAGCCTGAGGAGGGCGGGGTTTGGGGAGGGGAGGGACTCCAGTGGAGTGTAATGGCCTACAGTCTGCCTTCCAAAGCAGCCATTTTCTCCAAGCGGACTGATCTCTGTTGTCTGGAAATTAACTGTAATCTCGGGAGATCCCCAGCCACCACCTGGAGGATGGCAACCCCAACAGCAGATCACAGCAGGGGGCCACATGCAGGTGGACAGCCGCAACTTTTAAAATGCTCTTCCTTCCAACTCTTATCCTTGACACAGAGAGTACTCCGTCTTTCTGTGTTATACCTCTGAGGATGCCAGTCACAGCTGCTGGTGAAATGTCAGGTCCTACGATGCCAAGACCACGGCCACGCATCCCGGAAAATCTACAACAGCTAATCTTACCCTAGTAAAGGTAAAGGTTCCCTTGCTCGAAAGCCAGTTGAATCCGACTCTAGGGTTGCGGTGCTCATCTCTGTTTCCAAGCTGAAGATGTTTCTGTGGTCATGTGGCCAGCATGACTAAATGCCAAGGTGCACAGAACACTGTTACCTTCCCACCAAAGCGGTACCTATTTATCTACTTGCAATTTCTTGCTTTCAAACTGCTAGGTTGGCAGGAGCTGGAACTAGAGATGGGAGCTCACTCCGTCATGCGGCACACTCGGGTCTCGAACTGCTGAACTACAGACCTTCCACAGCCTGCAGTTCCGCATCTTAACCACTTGAGCCATCTTATCCTAGCCTTAGATATTTAAGAAGTTGTGCGGGATATTCTAAAAGATTAGACTGCAACAACTACAATACTCGGAAGGAAGACCGGCTAGATTCAGTGGCGCTTGTTGTTGGGAAAGCGAGCGTATGATTGCAGCTCAAAATGTTGCTCAGGAGAAAAGAATGGGCGTTTTGAAACGCAAGTAATAGTTTTGATTATCTTTTGTTTGCTGCAAAAAGGAAGGGGGGGGAAACTAATCTTTCGCAATCAGCTGTAAATGTTACTTCGTGCAAAGCAGAATAATTATAGGTATGTATTTAATTTACCTGTTTGTTCGTTCTGGTCTAGGAAAATGACTCTGGAGCGAATGTTAAATTATTTAAAAAGAGTGATCATTGGCTAAACATAATAAGGGAGGGTTTATTGTTGCCAGTGTAGCCGTTCATTTGCATAATAGCGGTTATTATAAGTCTCTCTGGTAAAATGGACTAATCACTACCTGAACACAAAGAGGAGAAACTTTTTTAAAAATTGTTGCCACGCTTGTCCTCTAATCCCTGAGTGACACTTTTATGCAACAATTACATTGAAATTCATATTTACAAAATAACAGGTTAGATCCAGGTTAGCTTTTTTTAATTCAGTCCTGCTCAGTTTCCCCTCTTATTACAGCACCTGTCCCATATGCCTTTTGTCTATGAGCATCCCACGATCCCAATCAAACCTCTTTTTTCTTTTTTTGGTGGCCAAAGGGAAACCCTTCCTTCCTTTTTTCACCAACTGTATCCAACCCAGCTTGTTTTTGATCCTGTCTGGTGTAGTGGTTAAGAGTGCGGACTCTAATCTGGGAGAACCGGGTTTGACTCCCCACTCCTCCACGTGCAGCTGCTGGTGTGACCTTGGATCTAAGCTGAGTGAGTGTGAGCTAGCTCACAGTTTTTTAGCCTCTGGCTCACACCTTTTTGTCTTAGCTCAGGAAGGATGGCTCCAGAGCAAACTAATTTATGCAGCAGCCAAATGGCTCACTCACAACTTTAATGCCAATAGCTCACAAAGTAGAATTTTTGCTCACAAGACAAGTTAATTCTTTGTATTTAATGTATTACAATGAAGTTTGAAATTCAATAAACAGATATTTTTAAAAAGTAGAATTTTTGCTCACAAGACTCCACAGCTTAGAGGGAACATTGCTCACAGGGTTCTGTTGTGGGGAGAGGAAGGGAAAGGAGATTGTAAGGCACTCTGAGACTCCAAGTGAAGGTTGGGGTATAAATCTAATCTCCTCCTCCTCCTCCAAAAACAGTAGACAGAAGGACCTCCTCCTTCCCCTTAGGGTGGCCTGTCTGGCATTTCTGGGATGAGGTACCTGAAAAGGTGAGGGGCCCCCCTCCTTGGAGATCATCCGGAAGTGCTACAAGTTCTGCCTGTTTGCCAGGGCTTTTGAGGGGGATTGAATGGCAGGCATCTTTTAAGGCAGGGAATGGGGGAGAGACTTGGGGCTTGCTATTTTATTTTTTGGTTTTAACTGGGTGTGTTTAAAGCCTGCCACGATGCACATAGGACATGAATTACTCCACAGCTCACAGGATCTCGTAAACATATGAAGCTGAATACCATAATAGATTCCCTCCAAAGCACCCTGAGCCAGTGTCCTATGAGCATGGGGAAGGGCTGTGGCTTAGTGGAAGAGCATCTATTTGGCATGCGGAAGGTCCCAAGTTCAATTCCCCAGCATCTCCAGTTAAAAGCATCAGGTGGTAGATGATGTGAAAGACCTCTGCTTGAGAACCTGGAGAGCCACTGCCTGTCCGAACAGACAGTAATGACCACAAGGGACCAATGGTCTAATTCAGTATGGCAGCTTCCTATGTTCACAAATTGCTTTTAATATTAGTTGTTGTGTTGTCTCATCTGAAAAACTGGAGACAAAACATATGCAAACCATCCTCAGTGAGTCCTTGCTCTTGATGGGCTTATAAAACTACACCGATAGGCAAAACCAAACAAGATTTATTCCAGGGCCTTCTATAGAAAACAGAAAGCTTAACTGCCAGAAAACGGTGCTCCAAAGAAAGATACGGGGCTTCTTAAAATTAGGGTTTTTTTCTCCCCCTTTCAGTTCGGTGTGGCACTGAATGATGTCAGCCTCAGAATCATGTGCTGAGAAGAGCTCTCCTTACTTCCTGTCCAGTTTGTCTTCGAAATCTGTGCCAGAAAATGGAGATGCTACGTTCACTTGCGAGATAACTGGTAAGTGATACCATCTAATGTTCAGATCAATGTGCCAGTTTTTTTTTAAATCTGTATCAGAGGTGTCAGACTCATTTGTTATGAGGGCCGGATCTGACATGAATGTCACTTTTCGGGCCGGGCCATGTGTGCCACAAAATGTAACACGAGGTACTAGAGATGCCAAATGGCAATAGCAGGCATGACTGGATTAGGTGTGATATGTAGAGGGGTAGTAGGTGTGGAGATACCAGCACTGGTAATGAGACAGGAAACCTAGGTCTCAATTTGGTACAGGAGGATTCAGTCCAGGAAGATGCAAAGAATAAATGGAAATAAGTGTGAAGAAGTGAGCAGTGACTCACGAAAGCACATACCCTACCACAACTTTTGTTAGTCTTTCTAGTGCAACTGGACTCTTACTTTTTTTTACTGCTATTAGAAACCACAACATTCAAAAACCAGTGGGGAAACACATAGGTGTAAAGTTCGTGGGGGCTGCGGGGCATCAGCCTTCCCAAAATTTTCAGGAAGGTGCTCAGCTTCCACCGGGGGCAACTGGTTCCAGCCACCCTTGCTCCCCCCACCCCATTCTGAAACTATGTTCAGCGGCTGGGTTGGGACCGGGAGGGAGGGAAGTTAGGGCGGGGGCTTGCTTCTTCCTGGAAGTGAAGCCCCACCCTCAGCTCCCAGCAGCCCTTAGTTCTGCCGGGCTGCACGTGGAGTCTGGCTTCCCTGGTTTCCCGCCCGCGCGCACACACACACAAAGGTAGGAAGTGTGCTTGCCCGGGCTCTCCATTACCACTGAGTCCTCAAGGTGCATTCGTTCAACCCGCCTCTCTGCCCCCCTCACCCAGCTACCAGTAAAATCAGCGCGGACTGGGAGGGGAACTTGGCCCGGCGGACTTGCCCTGCCGAAGGGAGCGCCAAAGCTCAAGGGCTGCAGTCCCTCCCACATCCCGGACGGCCTCCACGGCATCTACTCTGCTTCTTGCGCCCGGCTGCTGCCTTCCTCTGATTCCCCTTCACTGCTGCTCTTGCTGCTGCACGCTGGGACCAAG